ATTGAAGAATAGGTTATGCAATCCTGCATTCGGTTCAGTGTCTGAACCCGCTGCAGTTCGTGTTTGTTAGAAGCATGTTTCTACATCAGATGAACTTTAACTCTTTCCTTCAACATCAAAAGTATTCAAATTAGCGGGTAATCTATAAAATTTTCATATACAAGAAACATTTTTTTTCTACTTTCCTGGGTCTTTTGGAACACTTGGAAACACCTGAAGTATGAATGCTGTGTTTGTTAAAAATCTTTCGAATTCATGAATGGTTGATTTGTTTTAACGTATTCTGGCACATACTAGTTGTCTGTGTTTCTGAGCCTTGTTTACAACGTATCTTAATGGCTACAAAAACAAGGAGGAGCAAGAAAACGTTTGTGTGGACTAGCATTCTGTGTATCACTAAATATTGTGGGTACAAAGTTAATCATACGTATACAAGGCCTGTGTTACCCCGACGCTTCTGCAAATAGTGTAGAAGTTCTATTTTGTCAGATTTCAAAGATGCCTTGGTTTTGGATGCTGGTGACTGCGTGAAGTCTGGGTGCCGGGTTTGCACAGGAGGGCTTGTTGGCTGCATTTAAATTGCCTGTGCTATGGACGTGTTGTGCAGTTGCCACCGAGTCCAGCACTCTTTCCCGGTAGGCACCGTTCCTTGTTTATCCCAGATCACAGCCTGTCTGATCTAGGATTTTCAGTGTGATGATATTATAATAATAATAAATCAAAATTTTAATGAGAATGTAAGATTAAAATGCAGTTTAGTTTTTTTTTTTTTTTTTTTTTTTAGATATAGAGCATCTAAATTCTAGCATTTCCTAGCTTTTCGCTGCAGCCATAATGCTAGGGGCTTTGTTCAATTAAAAAAAAAGTTGGTTTTTTTTGTCCTTTATCACATGAATCTAGGAGCTGGTGCCTTCAGAATAAACCTGCAGCTGTTGTCAGGCTTGCAGTAAGATCATAAGAGCTGGCAACGCTGCTGAGTTTGTTTTCTTTCAGCCAGAGTCCAGCTTGGAAATCTGGAGGGGATATCCCCAGGAAATAACACCTTGAGTTCCCACACCGCCTTCCTTCCCCGTTTGTACAACTGTAGGATAAGTCTTCCTAACATGAGGTTTTGCTTAACCCACGGAGGCTTTTTTGTTCCTCTTCCTCTCCCCTCCATTCAAACCCTGTTATCTCTGTGCCGGAAAATGCACTGCCCGGGAGCACCAGCACTGCCGAGTTTCAAACCCTTGTCACCGAGCACCATTTCTGCCTGTTTTGAAGGCGGGCAGAGCTTTTACTCAGGTTTTTTGTTCTCCCTTTCTCACTTACCTTCCCACTGCTTAAAAATATCTCACCGTATCTGCAGGAAGCTGGGAGCCATGCTGCTTTCCTCTCTGTCTTTCCGCCGCTCGCTGGCCCGGGGCCGTCCTATCTTGCTCCCCTGCCAGATGAGAAGAGATGCAGCACACGAGCACACTGCGGCTCCTCCTTCGCCAGGGACAACTCTACTTAGGCGATGCTGGGAGGTTTAAAAAACGCTACCTGTTGTCTTGTGTGCCAGGTGGGCAGGAGGTGATGCTGTGGTTGCAGTAATCTAATCAGCTCCCACATCAAGCAGGGCATGGCCTGAGTATTTTGGAGGCTTGTTTGCTTCTCTTCTCTCTCCGTTTGGGATTGCCATCCTTCTCTGAGCCAGCTTTCCGTGGATGAAGGGCTGACTGGTAAGTCTGTCCTTCCCTAAAGCCAGCGATTTCCCTTTGGGGTTCACCTCCGTGGGACAGAAGAATTGCAGCAGAAGAAGCATGGACTGGCGCTGGAGGGCTTCTTCCAGACTTTTTCGACAGGACACAGCATGGTTGTGCCAAGGGTCGAACGAGTGAACACTGTCAGCCTTATTGGTCAGTCCTTGCTTTTTTAACCAAGCAAGATACTTTCTTCTGCAAAAGTTAGGCTTGGAAGTTGTGCCAAGGAAATTTTCGGTTCACTGGTATCTTTTACATATTTTGATGGGAAGCTGTTGAAAAGGGAGGGCGAGAAAGAATTGACCCAGGATGGTTAAATCTCATAGGACGGATTTCCCTTGTTGCTGGCAGATTGCAGCCATCTTAAATTTTTTGCTGAACAGAAGCAGATTTTCAGACTTCTTGAATGCTGAGGTTTCTATGTACATTTTTGTTAATGAATCTTCAGTAAATATTTGTGTATCTGTTTTTGTCTCCTAGTAGACCAGCTTGGCTGTGCCCTTGTACAAAATTACTGCAGAAATTCCTAATCTGTACAAAATAAGCGTCTTTCACAACCAGGGAGTACAAAATACATGACTACAAAGCTTTTTTTTTTTCCCCCGGAAGAAAGTGTGTTTTTATCATCTCTCAATAAAACCGAGGGCTTGCAGTGAGACGTGTGGGATAGACGCAAACAGTTAAGCTCGATGTATGAACATAACCAAGGCAGGAGCATCTTCTCGTGTGATCTACCATGGCCTTGGAAGTGATTGCCTCAATGACAGAAATAGTGGTTTGCAAACAAGTTAACGCTTGGCGATACTGACTTGTCCTCTCTGCTGCAAACTGTCAGTGCCAGGATGCAGCAACGTACAAAAGAGATGATTTGAAGGCATCAATAGATTGAGCCGTCCACTACTTTACTGCTTAATTTTGGGCAACATAGGTGACTGCCATTTAAAATGAGAGCTTGGAGTTTTTGTAGTTGGCTGGATGTGAGAAAGATCTTGGTTTTTCAAAAGGTTTAAAGCCCTTTATAGAGTATACCACAGATCAGCAGCTTCAATACTGAGAGAAATTGCTGTCTTTTAAGCACAAGTGATTATTTGATCCGTCTGGGCCGTGTGAAGGTGAAAGTGGCAGATGGCAGGAAGGGTGGGCACGCTCACGGTGCTGCAGGGGACTGTGCTTGCCTGTCATCTCCAGATCTCGGGGCTTTTAAAGTCACTGAGGGTCCTTCAGGACTCGAGTCGTGCAGGCTGCTTTGTAGGTGCTGATTTGAAGATGCTCGTAAGAGTGCTTGAAGCTGATGAGAAAGTGGAGCAGGCTCATGGCGCTCGGTTCTTTAATCCGGCTGATGGTGTCCCCGTGAGGGGGTGAATACGGGTTTTGTGCTGACTGCCTCGCTGTGCTCGGAGAGTGGCCCTGAGTGCGGTGGTTTCTCATATGTGACAGCTGAAAAGAAAAATACTCCAGACAGAAAGGGCTGTGTTTCCTTGTTAAAGGAAGGTCATTTCTTTGGTCGCTTGTAATGACTCAGTTGACTTCGCCACCTCCATGGCTTTGTACTAATGACCCCCAAAAGTGGACGCTTCCTTCTCTTTCTCTATGAAAATATTGATTTTGTTTAAATTAAGGATAATTCTCCTTAAGTCCATTGAGTTACATGGTGGTGAATGGTGGACGGCCTAGGTCTGCTTTGTCTGAATTTCCTTGCAGATTTAGCCCAAAATGAGTCACAGAAGCAGGCGGGTGGTTGTGCTGGGGCACAGCGGGGACTGCTGCTGCCACCACCATTGTCTGCACAGGCTTTTCTGCCGTATGAGGAACCGTACAGCCGTTTCCCCACCCTGCTCTGCCCATTCCTGTTGCCTGTCTTGGTATCTTTTGCTCGTTACGACTTTGCTTTCTAAATTGTGTGGCTTCCTGGAGAGGTAGCCCTGTGGTTTGCTAGGTGGGCACTTGCCCATTAGAAGAGTTTGCTACTTCAAAAGTAAGAAACCAGTCAGCAAAGATGCTGAAATCTATGTGTGATTTTACCTAGTTGATGGTGTATGTTTGCTGTATGTGTACCTTCTTGAATTCCTGACTATTTGCATACAATCACAGCTCTGTTTCTTCTAGGGATATCTGTAGCTGTGCTGCAAAGGGACATCTGGGGCTGCCTGTTGTGGCAGGGGCTGGTCTCCACTACAGGGGGCCATGCTCACAGCTGGGGCTGGCTGGCGGTAGATGCAGCCCTGGTGAAAGCAAAACTGAGAAATTTCCATTTCTCGCACCCCTGAGCAGGTCAGCACAAGCCCTCATTCCTGCCCAGCTCCACATCTCTCCTGGGGGATGCGGTGCTTGGAGGGTGCTGCACCAGCCACTCTGTCCCGGGACGATGAAAACAGATTTTGGGTTTCCTGAATGAGTTCTGTTTCAGAATGAAATCTGTAAACCTGAAGCTTTAGATGAACACCTCAATGAGATAAGTGTTTCCTCACTCCCTTAAAGGGGCAGTGTAGGCTCTGTGCAGGTTGGTGAGACCTAAAGAATTACTGCTTTGAGTCACAAGCCTGTGCAAAATCAGGGCTTGACATTCGAAAAGAGATGACTGCACAGAAATTTTTATTGAATACATGTAACTGCTGAGTTATTTTATCATTCTGATCTACAACAGCATCTTTTTTTCCTTCCTTTCCTTTTGATTGGTGAAAAGAAAACCCGTGATAGTGCTGCAGATGGACAGCTGTCCCACAACACTGAGAACATCTTGCACAGAAGCAGTTTCACAGGGCAAGCTAAATTCATTTCGGGAGTGAAAAAACTGCTACGATTTGGTGGCTGTTGGGTGTTTTTGAAGCAGCGTGCTGGTTTCAGTGTAGAAGTTGTAGCGTCTGTGTGACGATAATCCCCATTCCTTCTAATTTGTCCCTCTGTAGTTCTGTCTTGCCAATGTCTGTTGTTCTGCAACAGCTGCTTTGATGATTGTCACCTGCAATAAATTCCATTTTAAAAACCAATTATTGTGCCCTTTACTGCTAATCTCTCATAGTCTGGGGAAAAAAAGCAGGTCTCTAGCTGAGAAGGACCTCGTGAAATAAAGCTTGTGTCTGGCATTAACTCTAAATCACGTTAATTTTCAAGACCGAGAAGGGTGCATGTGTATTTGTCTATCTGCCCCTGGAGCCAGTGCTCTGTTTTGCTCGGGCCGTTGATTAGATGACTGTCCAGAGCGAAGAAACGCATGCATGTCCTGCAACGCAGCATCCCTCCTCGCCTGCCGCTTAACCCACGCTTCTTTTATTGCAGAGCGGAAGCCAGGGAACCAGAGTCCTGGAGCACCTTGTCTCACACCGTGCACTCGGGCAAGCGGAGCGTGAAGCACCATCGGGGGCGTGATGTTTACATGCTGACGGCTGAAGCTAAGGAAGGGGTGGCGGCCAGCTTGGAGAGTGACATACAGCACCTTCAGATGCATATGCAGAGCCACCAGCACATGGTAAGGAAAAGGCTGAGACGATGAGGGAGAAGCATGCCTGGCTGGTTGCTGCCTCACAAGCAGCCCGGCACCTGGGGAGGACTTCCCCACGTAGGCACCCTTCAGAAACCTCAATGTTTTCTCTGGATGTCGTTAACAAACATCCAGGTGGACACCTGCTTATTTTCTTCTCGTTTGAGCACAGGGAGATCTGATAAAGTTGTACTAGGCAGCAAATTTTTTCGCTCAGGATCAAAGCAGGCTCAGGGCTGTGCATTGCTGGGTCTGCTTGGCCTCCTGGGTGCTTTCTGCTCCCAGCTTCTGCCTTCTCTGTTTGCTTGAGACCTGCTTGGATGGGCAGGGAAACCTCTCTGGAGGTGGACTGTCCCTGCAGGAGGTCTGGCAGCAGCTGGACAGCATAAGGCCGGCTCTGGAGCGGGGCTGGGTCTGTCGGGGCTGCGCACGGTGGGTTCGTCTCTGTTCAGATGGGAAGTTTGGGGTCAGAGAGGAGACTGAGGGGAAAGTCTGTGAGGTGGGTGATGGAGAAAACAGCCGTTTCCTTGGGGCCTCGCTGTGCGACTCGGAGGATGAGCCTGCCCCAGCCACGGGAGGACAGTGTCCGCAGTGCCCCTTGCTGCAATCCTCTTGGACCCCATGGCAGTCAGACTGTGGGAGCCATGGGGCTTTGGAAAGGCTTCCTCTAGCTGCTTCAAAGTGGATACCACGGAGACTCGGTTGGAGCAGGAAGGTGAAACAGCAGGGTGCTTCTGTGCCACTTCTCAGAAACAACCACGTCTTGCTGTCCTGGGTTCGGCCAGGACAGGGTTAATTTTCACCGGACTCCAGGAAGGGGCACAGCCGGGGGGTGGGGGCT